CAGCACAATAAACGTTTCAAACCATTCTTCTCTTTGGGATGTTTTTGTCATCTTATAGATTCTAAGACTTAGACCAGAGGTGCATAACTTATGGCTTATAGACCACATGCAACCACCAGCACCCCTTTTGTGGTCTCCCTGAGCACCTTCAAAGTGAGTAGAGACAAACATTTTTAATAGTTGAGGAATTTGGGACAGAGTTCTCCTCACACTGAAAATACCCCTGCCCACTCTGGTTATGTCACGATGTCACCATCTATACCCACTGCAATTTTTGGAGACCACCATTTTCTTTTTTAAAAAGTTCACTTCCCAACCACAAGGCTGTTCCCTTATAGCAGCTAAAGATCACATTGGCTGGGATGATTAGAAGCTGCAGTTCCAATTGGATGCCTAGGCTGGAGAAAGTTATCCTAATGGGTGCTTTAAATTGCAATTCTGTGCACACCTGCTGGGACTTCCTTCCGAGTCAGCATGCATAGGATTACACAGACTGTTATTTTCTTGGTGAATAAGGTGGTGGCCATGCTGTTCTTCTGTTCATTGTATCCTGCTTTATAAAATTCAAAGCAATGTACAAGGGAAGGAAAAACCAACTATGCACTTCAGCCATTTGTCACTGTAATATAATCAACAAGTCCCCATGTCACACATTCGATTCCATTATGCCTCGGTTACTTTCCATTCAGACTACTGCAATGTGCTCTATATGGAGCTGCCCTTGAAGACCACTTGGAAGCTACAACTGGTCCAAAATGCAGCAGCCCGTGCAGTACTGGGTGCTTCCAGGTTTGCTCACGTTACACTCCAGTTGTGCGAGCTGCACTGGCCCCCAGTTTCCTTCTGGGTGCAGTTCAAGGTGCTGGTTATCTCTTTTAAAGCCCTACGTGGTATGGGACCAGGTTATTTGTGGGACCACCCTTCCTTGAGAGTATCTGTCAGTCCTACCAGGTCAGATGGGGTAAGCCTGCTCCATGTCCCTTCCCTGAAATGTTGCCATCTAGTGGGGCCTAGGAAGCGTGTCTTTTCCCTGGCTGCCCCCACCTTGTGGAACACCCTCCCCCTGGCAATCCAGCAGGCTCCCACCTCTTAGCCTTCTGGAAGACCATCAAGACCTGGCTTTTTACCAGGCACTGGGTAGGTAATGGTGTCTGTGGCTGGTTGTTGAGGCACCAGGTTTTTAGTCTTCGTTTTATGGTTTTATTAAGCTGCCCAGAGTTGTGCTTTAAGATGGGCAGCTGTACAGATCTTTTAAATATAAATAAATAAATACATTTTAAGATGTGCCAGAAAAAATCTAGACTAGTTTGGTCTAGTGGTTAAAGCGTCAGGCTAGAAACCAGGAGACTGAGAGTTTTAGTCCCGCCATAGACACGAAAGCCAGCTCGGTGACTTTGGCCCAGTCATTCTCTCTCTCAGCCCAACTCACCTCACAGGGTTGTTGTGGTGGGGAAAATAAAAGAAGGAAGGAGTATTAGGTATGTTCGCCACCTTGAGTTATTTATAAAAAATAATAAAGGTGGGATAAAAA